TAGTGAATACCAGTCTTCCAAAAAGAAGTTTCTTAACTCATATTTTATTTGAAATCTGCATCATGAGATCCAACAACTTCATCCCTGGTCTGGTACATACCTGCCCCCATATCTGCCTCTCTCCAGTGAGACTTCAGCTCCGCACTAAGAATGAAGTCTAGCCTTTAAGCACTCAAAAATATTTGTCAATGTATTCCCTAAAAGTACGTGTTTATTTGAAGACACAGCTGTGGTTCTCTCCTTGTTTTCTTTCTTTTTCTGTGATTTTGTCTACTGAGGAAATCTATCAGTGGCTTCCTTTTTCTCCACTGCCGCTGATTAAATGCCCAAGTGATCTTTGCTACGTTATGTTTCCCAAAGGGCATCTCAGTTTGATTCAGTTGGCTATTTAGTGTTTCACTTATAGATGTGAGCTATCGAGAGGAAGTTCTAATAACACTTATGTCAATGTAATACATAGTGTGCTGTTGCTCTCTTAACAACAAATAGCATTAGAAAAAATAGGTGTATGACTTTAGATCTTTAATAGTGACCTAAGGGATTTTATAGGGCATTGCTTTGCTTCGTTTATATTTCATATTTTGCATTTATTTAGAATTTTCTTTCATTTGCTTTAGTGACAGCCTTCCGTAAATTAGCTGTTATGGTAATAATAAAGTTACTTCACTTGTGGGTTACATTTCTTAGCTCTGCAGCACTTTCACACGCATTATTTCATTCTGCTCCTTGCCACAGGCAGGGGACTTTATTATACACACTTTACACGCATGAAGACAGAGGTGCAGAGAGGTAAAGTGACTTCCCTCAGGGTCACAGAGACAGTTAATAGCAAAGCCGGAGCCAGAAACTCCGTCGCTGGCTCTGTGGCCCCCTTCCCATCTATGCCGTGGGCGCTTGCAACCCCCTGCAGGCCAATGCCAGGCTGGGCGATCGGTGTGGGGGCCTGAAAACCATAGTGTCGTCTGTCTGGGCCACACTCTGCAGGAGTCTGGACTCTAATAAATAAATGCATTTTTGTCGAGTAATTTGGCAAAAAAGAATATTTGGTGAGGGTGGGGGAAGAGGGGCATGCATATACTGTGGTGGGAGACTAGACTGAGAGAAACTTTTAGGGGGGCTGTTGGAAAAGATGACATTGTAAACGAAGTTACGCATTCCCCCTGCAATTCACCTCCTGCAGCTTTTCCTGAAGGCGCACAGAGCAAGTGGACTCGTTTACTGCACCCCTGCTCGTAAATGCCAAGGGTGAGGGGCAGGGAAAGCAAAAGGCGATCCATGAGGATGCCTCAGGAAGTGAGCCACGTCCATGCGTAGGAAGCAGCAGACACTGGGGAAGGATAACTGGTTTAAACACCCACATATATGCAGCATATCCTCGTGGATGCATATCCAAAGTAGTATATGCATACCAGGCTTGTGAGTCGGGGTAAACCCTCTAATCTTGTGGTAGAGTCCCCTCCCTGAGAAGGTGGTGAGGAAAGACCTCAAGATAAGGGAAGGCAACCTGGTTCGTGACACGCCTCACGGCCCTGTAACATGAGAGCACCCAGTCAGACCGTATGTCTGTACATTACACATATATGGGAGACAAAGAAGTCAAGAATGTGTAAAAGACGACGCCATGTGGCGTTTACCCAACTGAGCCAATGCCGGCACAAATAAAGCTGCTTCCTGGAAAGAAACGCCTCCAAACGGTGTCATGACTCTGTGAGCGAATCCCGCTACAATCTACCTAAGTCTAAGTCTTATCATTTATCACACGAGGAGACTATTAACCCGTAACTTGCGGGGTAAAGGTAAGGACCAAATAAGATAATATGGATTAGGTGTTTAGTACGGTACATGATACGTGAGACAGTTAATAATTATTAGCTATGACACTACTAATGCTATTATTATAATTACCATCATAAATCATGATTTTAATTATTAGCAGTGGTAGGAATTGACCCCTAAGAAGATGAGGTAGTGACATGTGCTCGTAGGGAAAGATGCCCAAAATACAATAAATGACAAAAGCATGTTCCCAACGTAGTCAGAATATGGTCCCTTTTGTTTTTCTTTTCTTTTATTTATTTACTTTTTTAAGTTTATTTATTTTGGGAGACAGAGAGAGAGAGAGAGAAAGGAAATATAAGCAGGGGAGGGGTAGAGGGAGAGCAAGCGAATCCCCAGCAGGCTCCATGCTCAATGCAAAGCCCAAACCAGGGCTCAGTCTCACCAACTATGAGATCATGACCCGTGCAGAAATCAAGAGTTGGAGGCTTAACGGATCGGGCACCCAGGCGCCCCAACGGCCCATCCATTTGTTAACACATGGACAGCAGGTTCACCTACAGCACTTTTTTTAACAAAGTGAATCACCTCATAAGCAACTGCTAAATATTAGAGTGAGGGAGTGTAATGGCCAGGGAAGTTTTGTTGTTTGTTTGTTTGTTTTGTTTTGCTTTGCTTTTTTCCGGCAGAATAACAAGCTGAAGGGGTCGGGGGCAAGCTTCCCCACAAATAAAAAGCAAACCTGAGCGCTGCACAAGCAAGCTGAGAAAAGGAAACGGTGAGACCCTGCAGAATGGCCTCCATAAGGGAGGAAGGTTTGGCTCGGGAGCGGGAGTCACTACATGAAGCCATCCGTGCAAGGTGCTTCCCTCTGTGCTGAAAGCCCTGATGACCAGAGATCCTCGCAGATCGTGTTTTCAGTCTGGAGAGCAGAGGTCCCACAGGAGTGGCAAAACCGTCCTCAAGGCCAAACTCGGCAGGCGGGGGAGGCATCCAGGGAACGCTCTGCAGGGCCCACTATGCCTCCCCTGGCAAGCGGCAGGGCAGCGATCCACGCGCTGGTCCTGTCAGCAGGGCTGTGGCCGTACCCCCCTTGGGACCCTGGATGCACAGAGGCACAGCCCGCTACCCCAGGGCCACTCCCCGACAACCTCTCTGCTTTTAGCACGTGGTCTTACAGGCTGTGAGGGCCCTGTAAGACCTATGGCACGGTGCTAGGAAATACCTGTACTTCCGAAAACAGTGATAAAGAACAAGCAAACGTGGAAACAGAGGAAACACACTCCTGAGTCAGTCCTCGTGTGAAATCAGACTTGGACACCCGAGCTCAGCAAGCTCCACCCACGAGGGCACAGACGGCCGCGTGCGCTAGACGAGAGGAGACCCCACGTCCCGTACTTACACGTATAAGACGGTCCTGGTGTCGCCCACTTTGCCAGCATCGCCCACGGTGAGGGTGTCATAGCCTCGCTCCAGTTCAAACTCCTCAAACGCGAGCTTGATGACCTAAATAAAGCAAAGGCAAAGACCATCATTTGGTATCACAGACGTTTTCCATGACTTTCCATGCTGCAAATATTCAGCTGTAGTACACATTTTTGTTCCTTAATTCCACTGTATTTCAAACAAATTCAGGTGTCTTAAAAAGTAGTTCTATGGATAACTGTATAGGTACAGAATTTTATAGAATTCAAAACTGCTATCCCTTCAGAGACATTGATTACCAGTTCTAAAAGTGAAAATAACCCATATTGTGTTTTAAGTTAAATAAACGTCTATCAAATATTTAACATTTATAGTGCTTAGAAGGACCAAAAGATAACTCCATATAAGCAAAAGAATTGTTCATTAATTCTTTTAATATATCTCATATGTGAATTCTTTTCATATCTTTTAATATATTTTGAGGACACCCAAAACACTCTGAAATAAATATTTTTAGAGTAATGTATGCAGATTTTATGTAATTGTCCATATTAACATATGGAAAAGATCTGAGGCTAGAAAGTTTTCTCCTACATTTAATTCTGCAAAGCCTCAAAGCTTTATTGTCATAAAGAACACTGTCATGGTGACCGACCCCATGCCAACTAGACAAGACCAATTTGTGTCAGATACACCCATATATTAGGATTCTATGCACTTCTTTTTAATACAGCACAGGGTCCTTTTCTCCAGAACGAAGAAATGCTTTCTTTGGTGACCAATAACATGATCGAGGAGAAAGAGAGTCAGAGATGTCATGAAATTAGGCTAGAATCCTGAGTGACAAAGAGAATAAGGAACGGGGAGTTAGGTGGATGGTAGATACTGATAGATGGAGAGAGAGACAGACAGACAGACAGATAAGAGAGACAGATACAGACAATGGATTGGTAAAAGATACAAAGATCAACCGGTAGAGAGATGAACGAGAGAGATGACAGATGATGGAGAGGATAGAAAAAAGTAAATAGAGAAGTATAAATTATAGGTAGAGAAATCAATGATAGACAAATAGAGGAGACAGATGCATCCAGAGAGGCAGGAATCAAGGGAGGAAGACAGGACAGAGAGAACAGGAACCATAATACCAGAAAGACATTTTAATGAGATTTATTTCGGAGTAGAGATAAAACTCTGGAATCTTGTAAAAAAGTATCAAATGGCTATGTCTTAGACCCGAAAGGAGGGAACGTGGTGCCAGGAAGAAGGCCGACTTCCGACTAACATCCAATTTAACGTGCGCGGCCCTGAGCGGGCTGTACACGGGTGTGCTTCCGAGCAATGCTGAGATGGAAGGCATTAACTTGGCTATTCAAAATTCCTACTAAAATTAGTGACACAGTCATTACAACTTTTTAAAAGTCTACCCTTTCAAACTGCAGTGTTTGTCTGAATACATTATTTTGGCAATCTGCTGTGAAACAGGTGTCGAGACGGATAGCTCTTGCAAACCAGTGTTAACACTGCATGTGAAGTTGAGGGCCTGAGGTGGGTTTTGTATCATTTTTTCTTTCTTATGTGTCTGTCTGTAAGTGACGAAGGTCCAACAAGAAGAGAATAAAGAAACTGAAGAATCATCATCGAGGCCAGCGGTTTCCTTCCCAGCACCTTCCTGACACATTTACTCAGACCTGCCTCCCGTAACACCCTGCAGAGAAGCAGTGATAATCCATTACGGCCTGAGGGTCATGGTTGGACGATTCGTAATGAGCCACAGACAGGGGGTCTCACTACATAACTGTTTTCATTAGGGGTGTAAAAATGGCCGTTTCGGGATTCTTCCAAGGCAAGGCAAAGGCCATCAACAAGCAGCCAGAGCCTGCTGTCAAAGTGTAATCTTTACTCCATGCGATTAATGCTCCTTAGAAAGAGAAGACGTAGACCCAATTTTGGGCAAAGAACCTATCGCGTGTCAGACAATATGATATTCTATGAACAGTCTACCTGGTAGTAACACGGAAATACACATTTGTAACGAAACGTGCCATCATTTCCGACCAAGGATGGGCAGAGATGCAAATAAAAAGTAACACTGTGGGAACACACACATTTTTGGTAAAATCATAAGTATGTAAGGTGCACAACACGACAGTTTACATACGTATACACTGTGAAATGATTACCACGGTCAAGCTAATGCACACATCTCTTCATACAGTTACCACTTTTTGCGTGTAGTGATAACACGGGGAATGTATGCTTTTATAAACTTCCGGTACGCCGTGCAACGTAATTAACTAGAACCACCATTCTGTGGATCTCTCCACGTACTCACCAGACATAACTACAACTCTGACCAGTATCCCTCCATGGCCGTCACTTCCTGGCCCCTGCTCATCGCTTTCCATTCGTTGCTACTATGGATTGGCCTTTTTTAGATTCCGCAGATAGTGAGACATTGATTTTTTTTGTCTTTATATATTTGTCTTATTTCACTCAGCAGTATGCCTTCCAGGTTCATCGATACTGTTACAAACAGAAGTACCTCGTTTTTCTAAGGCTAAATAATATTCCTGTGTACGTGAACACACACTTCCTTTATCCACTCACGCTTAGATGGACACTTTGGCTGCTTTCCTATCCAGGCTACTGTGAATACGAACGATGCTGACTGAGACGTGGTGTTCGGGACTGTGAATGACCCAGTGACATTTAGCCAAAGTGGTTTCCTTAGTTCTTTAGACGCATGCTTCCAAGTCCTTGCACAGTGGCTGTTTCTTGGAGGCACCTCTCCTGCTCGCTCTGTCCAACAAAGTCCATCACTTTGTCAACATTGTTTTTTCCCTTCACAACGTTTCACCCTTTGGAATCCTCGTGGGCTTGCTCTTACTGCCTGCCTCACACCCCCCAGGGTCAATGCCATGAGGCCTCACACCCCCCAGGGTCAATGCCATGAGGCCCCACACCCCCCATGGTCAAAGCCATGAGGGTGGCCACTACACTTCCTCCACCTGCTGAGGCCAACAAGTGACTCAGACTTCTGGGATTTAGTGAATGTGTACTGTGCCCAGGCCACAGTGCTCGGGATGAAAGCAAAGAGAAAATGGACGAGGTTCTAGCCTTCAAAGAAACCTGAAAAGTCTGCTAGGGAGTATTTTGATAAACACAAAGTCATTACCAAACTTTTACCTGTTACAGATAAAACTCCCTAATAGATAAAATAGGAAGGAATAAGAAAACATAAATAAAAAAAGAAAGACAAGGTTCTAGACTTCAAAAAATTTAAAATCCGCAGAGGATATTTTGATAAATACAGAATAATTATAGAAGTTAACATTTACAAGTAAAGATTTCTTAATGAAAATAGATGAAATCATTTACTTGTCAATTCTCCAAAGAGAATCTTAGGTTTGTGAGAAGGAGATGCTGTTCAGTCAGGACTTTGGTATCATCTTTAAAATACATTCTTGGCGTTTTGTAACATTATGTATTTTTTTTTGACAAATTCTCAGGATCTCGTTGTTGTAACAGTTGGTCTGTGTAACAACTCCTTATGAGTTTTTCTCTGCATTATCAAGTACATCAACACCCTATAGGCTCTATGAGAATAACACACTACCCTCTGTTTAAACATTTCTAAATCAGGTGCTTCTAAAAATATATAGCAGACTTGTTTCTTAAACTTTGCAAAAGAAACATAAATCAGTATCTACAAAATATAACCTGGAGTGACCTTAAACATAAGTAACCTTATGTTTATCTTCTGGGAACAATTACAAACATATTTAAGTATTATTACCTACATGATGTTTCCCTCTCTCTCCTCCTCTGTGCTCCCATTTGCTCGTTTATTCCGCATTTATTCACATATTCAAGGCAAATTAATGTCCCGGCCCTCTCTCACGAACAGGGCTTTGTGCAAATCTTTTCCTTTGTATGAGTACATTTTAAACACACTGGTACCACCGCTCAGGTTAGCGATGTGCTTATCAACAAAGGGGCTTCTTAAAAGAGCAAGATACTAAATCAATTGTCCCTAATGCTAAGTTTTATCAGTAGGAAACCACATTTCCAGAGGAAGTAGAACCTTTTAAATTGGGCATCAGGTGCTGTTGTGATTTAAATTAGCATTAGAAATGGTGGGGAGAGGGAGGGCTGGGGAGACACCCCATTTCCCTTTCCTGACTCAGTGCTCCTCTCCCGACCCTAAGCCACACGTACAGGCAGTGCCTCACGGAAGGGTGTGATCCCACTTACCACTGAGCAATGCTTCCTACATGCAAGTCCGTGTAGGGGAACACGGCTATGCCACCATTCACGCCTATGTCTATGGACTTACAGTTTCCCTGGGTTGTGGAAATAAATTATGTGCTCTCATGTGAAGGGGTGTTGAGTAAATTAAAGCAGAAACAGTGATTTATGGTGAATTTTCAGCAAATCTGCATTATCTCCGTTTTCCTTTACTTTGCTATTAAGAGTTGAAAGGGAAAATTTGCCAAATTGATACAAACCGAGCATATGGGGCTGTGTGTTGTTTTATATAAAATATGACAAATTGGGAGCTGTGAATAAACACACATCTTTAGATGGAGCACGGAGGATTTTTAGAACACTGAACATACTCTGTACGAGACTCTAATGGTGGGACACGTTCATTTTTCCAAACTCATGGAATGCCCACCACCAGGAGCCACCCTAACGCAGACGACCGGCTCTGGGTGGCGATGACACAGCCACGTGGCTTCATCAGTCGCAGCTAACACAGCACAGTGCCTGGCGGGGGTGCTGGTCATGAGAGGGCTGTGCACATGCGGGCTAGGGGGTGTGTGAGAAACCGGTACCTTCCTCTTAATTTTGCTGTGAACCTAAAACTGCTCTACGAAGCCTTCACACATACACACAAATTTGTTTGCTCTTAAAGAATGAATAGAACCCTTGTTTCTTGTAAAAAGTAACTAACATATTTTATTTAATGAGGATGTTATTTTGTTATCAGGGCCTGGATAATTCGTTCTATGTCACTGACTCAAAATTAATGCTACTTAAAAAAGAAAAATCTCCAGGGCGCCTGGGTGGCTCAG